CATTCCCTCTCTTCCAGTATACGATACTCTGGTGACTGAGTGAAGATTAGATAGCAGAAAGGGGGTTAACTGTGAAACCAACCAAAACAATTTAGGAATGACTTAACTCTGTAACCAAAATACACTTTCTCTCATAATAAAATGAAAAGGGGGAGGGTTTACCATAATTTGCTTTCTGGGCCAATAGTGGGCAGATGAAATCAAGAAGCTATTGAAACCTGAGACCTGGAGTTAATAAGTTTTTTGTTACTACTTTTTTATCTCTCTTTCATTATAATCTGTTTATTAATTTGAAATGTATGGCATTTTCTCTTGTATAATTACCTGTATTATAAATAGGAACCAATTGTTAACTTTTCTCAAATCCTTAGACAATATGAAATATAAATAATATTAATACTTAGTAATATAAATATACAGTCAACTTTTTGTCTAGACCCTTTGTGAACAATATTAAATATGGGCAAATTAAGTTAGCAATCCAATTTACCATGAACAGATATGCCACTTTTCCCAACAAATGGAGTTACTTAAGATCTATGGTCTGTATTGAAGATATCACAATAACAAAACTAATAAAAAAAAAGTTTAGAATTCTGTATCTTTCTTAGGGAACCACCAACTGAAATAAAATTATGTTCTAACAACTCCCATGTCATGATGAAAATCCATTCACTAGAAACCCAGTCGGTTAGGCAATGAGGGACTTCCACAAAGTGAAGATCAGATGGCAGGGAGGGGTTTCCCACAGTACATCTTGTGGTTTCACTCTGATATTCAGCAACCACAAGCAAATTCTACTTAATTGCTTAGTAATAAAAAGTAATTTGAAAAAATTGATATTATTCCATTTGAAGATATGATTGAACAGGTTATCATCAACAGATAATTTTCCATTTTTGTGTCCATCAACTGTGTTGCTTTTTTTTTTAATGCTGGGGAAATTCTTTTTGTATGCTGTAAAAATGCACAGTGACTAAATGTAATAAAAATAATAATTAAAAAATAATAATAAAATTCCATACAGATTCTTTAAAATTAATTAATTAAAATTTTTGGTCTCAAATCTATTTTTAATTTCTTGAAAAAATTGATATTATTCCATTTGAAGATATGATTGAACAGGTTATCATCAACAGATAATTTTCCATTTTTGTGTCCATCAACTGTGTTGCTTTTTTTTTTAATGCTGGGGAAATTCTTTTTGTATGCTGTAAAAATGCACAGTGACTAAATGTAATAAAAATAATAATTAAAAAATAATAATAAAATTCCATACAGATTCTTTAAAATTAATTAATTAAAAATATTGGTCTCAAATCTATTTTTAATTTCTTTTTTATATTTAATCACTGTGTATCATTACAATATACCAAAATAATTCTCCCACTCTGAATACACTGTATATTGGTTTGGTCGAAGATATTACCATACATATTACCATTAATAGATCATTTTCCATTTTTGTGTTTCTTAAATGTTTTACTTCTTTCTTTTTCACCTTGATATTCTCCCATTCACCCTCCTCCATGAGTTTTATACTGTTGCTTTTGGTCCTGGTTTTTCACCAGGGAATCAGACCCTAACTATATTTTCTTGACTTGTCAGTCAATTTTACGATTTGTCTAACTCAAGAATGAAATGGACAAATTACGTGAAAATAAACAAAGATCACTCAAATCAATTTATTTAGAGCTTTCTAAAGCAAAAGAGCCAGCCACCATCATCGCATTTTGGCAAAGACTCAGAGGTGTAGGGCAGCTTTATAGTGGGAAAAATAGAGTACCTTAGGTATGCCCTGACTGGAAGCTGTTGGAATGGGGAAGCTGTGGGTGGGCCTTGTAGTAGGGTGTCCTGCGTGATTGACTAGAGGTACATTTGGCTTTCTCTGGTCTACAACACCAAGCTTCAATCGGTAATAAGCATTAGAAACAGAGTACACCAAGGGCAATTCTTGGCTCTGACGCTAAGCTCTACATAAAAGCGGCCCAAATAGAACAGCTTATTTCCTGTTTTGTTCCTTGGGGGTCTTACATAACATTTTTGGGCGGCCTGGCTTCTGCAAGGTCTTGGTCCTAGGGATAGATTTAAGCTAGGCAGAATGAGGATCACCAATTAGTCTACATGAGACTCTTAGAAATGGGGATTATGGCATGACCATGCCCCATGCAGAGGGGCACTTTCTCACTTTCTCAGTGCTGTAGAAAGTTGACATGTTTCTAAAGGTTTCCTAAAACTCATCTGATAGTGTTTTCGCTATAGCCTCTCTCCATCAACTTTTCTGCCTGTTTAGGACTAAGACAATATCATCTTCTAATATATATTTCTAACAATTTCAATTAAAAATACTATATCCTGCAAGACTATCCTTCATATGAGAGGAAAGATAAAAAATTCTCAGATAAACGAAACCTGAAAGAATTTACCAACACCAGATCATCTCTTCAAGAAGTTCTGAAGGGAGTACTATACCAGGAAAACTAAAGACAGACAAGAGAACAAAAAATGGTCAAAGCAAAGGTCAATCTGATGGTAGGGACAAGTTCTGAAATACCAATAATAATGTTGAATGTTAACGGAAAGCTCAGACCACAGTAACACTGCAAATTCAACAAAAGAGAGATTCCATAAAACTGAACTGGTGAAATAGAATTCTATGACTTTTCTAAAACATCAGTGATTTTCTTCTATGCTTTGTCTTCCAGATTTCAGGATTTTTTGTTTTCTTTTGAGTTGTTGATAGGATCAGCAATTTGTTAAAAAAAAGAATTTTTTTAATTGAAACAAACTTTGCTCCCTTCCAGACCCCTTTGCAATTGAAAAAATATTTGTGAGATTCTTATTTTGTGGCAGAATGGTTATTTGCCTCAAGTTTAATAATACAATAGTATCTGTTACCTCGCATCAGAAATTGAATTCTTATGGGGATTTGTGCAGATAACAGACCAAATTGAGATTAACCTATTTTTTTTTTTTTTTTTGCAAATAAGTTAGTTTCTATCTCTCTTTAGTAAAAGGGGGAAAGGAGAGGAAACAAAATGTTTTAGAAGAAAATTACAGTGCACTTGTCACTAGATTCTACTTTTGTCCATACTTCTAGTTTAAGATATTTTGTGAATCAATAAAATGTAAAAAAAAAAAAAAAAATAGTATGGAAGGGAGGGAGGGGAAAGAGGAAGGAAAAAACTGTTAAAAGTATGCTTAATTGACAAAAAATGAGAAGCTATTTGCTGATGATAATGCATATAGTAATGTATATAGTAATATCTTTGTCTTGACTGACATGCATGGTATTTATGTTGGAAAAAGAAATGTATACCCTAAAGACATTATTAAATGTAAATAAATTTTAAAAGAAAAAAGAAAAACTCTAGAAATATTCTGTGTGAATGCTACTATAATAACCATCCCTGATCTCTCTCAGGGTCCCAAACCCACTTTCTCCAACTGGAAATAGGGTCAAAGTGAATATTATCAAAGCCTCCTGAGAAGTTCAGACAGTGTTCAGACCTCCTACAATGGAAATTACTTGGGAAATTGTATTTTTAAGACAATATTCCCTAATTTCAGGTTCAAAATTAGGTATCAATATTTATAAATAAAATAGGTTTCATATACTGTTCTAGGGGAGCAGAGAGGGTATAATATACTATATATTGTAAAGACCAACTAGGTCTACCTCTAGAGATGTTACCAGGACAGGTTTAGGAGTCTGGATATGAATATATACGCCATTGAAGTGATGTGAATAATACCTATGGATGGTCAAGAATAGAGACACAGTGCCAGGAGATGGCATAGTGGTTTAAACTGGACTCTCACATGGCTGACCAGAGTTTGAGTCTCGGATCTGGTGGCTTGAAACTCACAATGGGCACACTTGTGTGCATGTCCAAAATCCTGAGAGGAGAATGGAGGAGAAGGGATTGCAGTATGACCATCCTCCTGGGGAGGGTTATTTCTTGATTTTTGTCTCTCTGTCTCTCCAGCAAGTTCACATGCCCTATAGCAAAAGTCTCTTTTTTAAAATTAGGCAATTTAGCAAGCTACGCAGTGACTGGGTATATTTTTTATTCTGCTGTCAAATTTGGGTAAGTAAAATTTTAGGGACCAGCAGATGGTGTAATGGCTACATCACTGGACTCCCATATAGTTGACCACAGTTCGAGTCCCAGACCAGCGGCTTAGAATCACACTAGGTGCATGTGCGTGTGTGCCCAAGATCCCAAGAGGAAAAGGGAGGAGAAGGGATTGTGGCATGGCCATCTCCCCTGGGGGGGTGATTTCTCACTTTTTGTCTCTCTGTCTCTCTCTGTCTTTCTGGCAAGCGCACGCACCCTATAGCAGAAACCTCTCAAAAAAAAATTTTTTTTTATTTCTGAGAAATGAAAATAGAAAACTTCAAGTTCTAAAGTTAAATAAAACATACCAAGTCCCTTACCCACTTGCATGCTTATTGTAATCACTTCTATAGTCTAGGGAAATTAACATCTACCTGTCAAATATGCAACATGCAGATTTTTATAAAGTGTTGCATCTTTACAGAAATGTGTTATTATTCTTGGGCATACAATATTTTCTTGTAAAAAGTTATATACAGTGTAAGTTGTGTATGTAGAAGTGTGGGTATGGGTAAGTGCATATCATGTAGCTATAATGGACACTAAAAACTAAGAACCAAATATTATCATGCTCTCAAAGTTTAACTCAATTTTCAGCCGTATTTCTTATACTCCCTATTTGCACATTTATATATACACAGTAAAGGCTTATCAATTTTGTATTGACTTTCCAGAGGGAATAGATGTGAGATCATAAAACAAAACAACAAAAACAACAATATATAATATATAGAAATGGAGGGGTTGTTTGGGTAAACAGAAATAATAAAGTCAAAATAATTGCCATTTGTAGAAAAAAATCTAATACCAAATTATAAATTGTGGAGAGAACAGAAATTTTCCCAATAATCCTTTAAACAAAGACTTTGTTTTCCTGGACCCTTTATTAAGAATCAGAATGTTCTGGACACATGATTCTTACAAATTACTTGGAGGAGGCACTTCTGGTCTGTCTTCTAATTCACTGTAAATTGGTGAATATATATTTAATTCCTCATAAAGGCGTTCATCTGGAACCTGATAAGGGAAAAACCATTCCATATGAGTCACTGAGAATTTTCTATTACTACAGAGCTTGTCAAGGGGCTTATCCATTTCCTTATGTCCTATCTCATTACACTCTAATTATTCCTTCCATCTCCAGAAAACCAAACCAGATTGGCTAGTCAAGATATCATGCCAATTGATGACAAGTGAAGTGAGATTATTCCAAGTCTGAACTTTTGTATATTTGCTGTATTATTTATCTTTGGAGGAAGGTGATCAGAAAAGGCAGCCAGGTTCCCCTCACCCTGGTGGTGTGGTCTGTAGCAAACTGAACTGCAGGACTGGAAGCTACATAGACAACTGCAACCCAGCATCCTCGGTCAGCCTGAAAACATGCTAGGCATGTGCATGCATGCTCAAGATCCTAAAGAACTAGAAGGGTGAGGAAAGGGGATTGCTGTGTGATAAGATCCTGTCCAGATCTCTCTCTCTCTCTCTCTCTCTTTCTCTCTCTCTCTCATACATGTGCACATTCTCTCTATCTTGAATAAAATAAGCTTTTAAAAGAAAAGGTGATTGGGGCCAGCCAATGGCCTGGTGAGTAAGTCAACTGGATCCCACATGACTGACTTCACCATTTCAGTCCCAGACCTAGTGGCTTGAAAGGCATGCGAGTTTCAAATCATGTGTGTGTGTGTGTGTGTGTGTGTGTGTGTGTGTGCATGTGTGCACTCAAAGTCTTGAAGAGGAGGAGGAGATGGAGGAGAAGGGATTTCAGTGTCACTGCACCCCATCAGGAGTCCTTGCTTTCTCTGTGTGTCGCGCTCCCTCCCTCCCTCTCTCTCTCTCTCTCTCTCTCTCTCTCTCTAGCAAAGGTACCCTCTGGCAAATTAAAAAGGTCAGACTTGAATGCTTCAGGAAAGTAGACAAATGGAGAGAGCATGTTGCATTTGTCAGATCTGAATACGCAAAACTGGTGATTCCTATTAAAGGTGCAAAGGATGTGCAGAGCAAGTGAAAGCACAACTGGTATTTATAAATTAAGAAGGGAAGAAAACCGAGGCTATAGAACAAGTGGGAAGGGAAAAGTTAAGACTAAGGTAAAAGAGCAGAAACAAACGTAAAGAAGCAACTCTAGGACAGAAAATAAGAACAGACACCTGAGTAGTCTCATCACATGCTGACAGTACCTTCATTTTCAGGCTCAACACACTTTGAGCCATCTGCATTTTCTAACATTATCAAGAGCCGATTTTCCTAACTCAGTCTATGGGATATACAACACATTTGTGCTACTTGTAAGTGTAAAATGTAACTTAAAACATGAGATTTGGAAACTCAAATAAGAAAACATGGAGAAATAGTTTTGGGAGAAAATGTTCCAGAAAATCCAGGCCACATGTTTAAGTTCACAATTTTAAGCTCAAATTCTTCAATCTGTCATTTGGGCTTTAGTATCAGGCCCAACCTACCTTATTCCTTTTGATTTCTTCTCCAACGCTGTAGATTATGACTGACATGGCACTGCAAAACCCCAGAATGGTGAGAAACAGCATCATTGCCATGATTTCCTTTTGAACAAAACCCCAAAGAGACAATTAGAGTCACATGGGAGTTGCCCCCAAAGTTCCCTCATAGCAACTCTTATTTTACTCTCCTCCAATATGATTTATTGTTCTAAAGTGACACACACACATGAGAAAGCCAGGAGCTGGTTCCTTGTGGCACATAATGCCAGTCTTCATCAATTTCACTGGGGAGAGGGGGTAGTGGGCCTCTCTCTGAACTACCCAAATCCACAAAACCCCAGAACACTCTATTGTGTGATGGACGTCATGAAAAAGGATTGTGTTCATGGTAAAGGAGAAAGGAATCGTTGCTTAGATTAAGACCCAGAATCTTAGCCTTCCCATGAGAAATACATACAGTGGAAAAAGAAGCCATGAAGCAGTAATTTGCCTCATAAAATTCATAGCAATTGTCGATATAAACCGAGATGTTCTTCAGGTTGGTGATCAGGATGATAATGCCTGCGACTGCTGCTATGCTGCTGACTGTGTTTGCTCCCAGGCTTCCTCTTGCCTGGTGACCAAAAACAGACAAACACACACACACACACACTTAGTCCGGGCCTCCATCTGCCAGTGCATTCAGTAAACCTATCTGCACTTCAGGGGAAGATTCATCCAGTAAAGTCTGCATTATTCCAAATTTAGTTTTAAAAGGCAAATCTTGAAAATGTACCCATTGTTTAATAAGCATAGCATTAATTTCTTGCTGGGACTGCATTCAGGAGCCATACAGATAAATGTGTTCTCACCACCAATAATTTCCTTAACTGGAAATCAATAATATACTCGATATATTATTGTAATTATCACTGCTTGTACTACTTGTAAGTGTAAAATGTGAGCTTTGGAAATTCAAATATTAACACATGGAGAAATAGTTTTGGGAGAAAATGTTCCAGAAAATCCAGGCCACATTTTTAAGTTCACAATTTTAATCTCAAATTCTTCAATCTGAAGAATTTTAACAATAATTACAATTATAGTAATTATCACTAGAAGAACAATGCCTGTGTGGAGACATTTTTTAAACAAGTATTAAGACAATTAAACGTCATTGAATGTTACATGATACAATTTCTGTTCCTAATGATTATGTCCAACTTCGGTTATAAAAAATATGTTTTTTTTTTAATCCAGAGTACACTATATATTGTCTCAATCAAGCACATCAACATACATGTTATTGTCAACAAATAATTTTCCATTTCTTGTTTCCTGTATGTTTTGCTTTTTTCCCCCCATCCTTGACTCCCTATCTCTTACCCTCTGCCATCTCCCACTCTTCTCCCACACTGTCTCTGGTATCTATGTTTACTTTCTATACTGTTTCCCCCCAGTTTTTATTGAATTACTAAAGATCTTAATTAATCTAAATATTTTCATAGCAAACACAGCTGATATATACATTTCCATGAACACAATTCTAACTTTAGGCATCCTATAAAGTAGCACCTAGCTGGGGCTATATATCTTACTGCGGTCATCAAATGGATTTTTATTTTTTTCTGAAACTTTTTTTTTTTTTTGGTAACTTAACTTACATTCTTACTCTAAGCATCATCACAGCATACAAAATGTGATTTCCCATCCAGAATATACTGCGTAGTGACTTATTCATGCATATTATCAAAAAGTTTTAACATTACATAACTGCATTTATTAATATTATAGGAAATGAAGATATGTCTCCCTCAAGACTCCCAAACTTCCATGTTTGCTTACCTTGTCAAAGACAAAGACAGAATTGCAACTCACCAGATATTTTGTGTTTTTCTTTTCCGATATAATTGATAAAAGTCCAGAAGTAGCAAACTTTCAAAAGGGAGGGGAGAAAAAAGCATGGTAAGTCTATGTTATGTTCTTTAATGTGTTCCTTTCACCTCCATTCTCCAAATATAGGTAAAATTAAGGGTACTTGATAAAGTTATCTATTGATGTCTCCTGGGAGCCCAGTATTATTATTAGTTCCTATAGAGTGCTTCTCAAAATTAAATGTGTGCACATATCACCTGAGGGTTTTGTTAAAATGCAGATTCTTCTGGGACCTGAGAATGTGACTTGAGATTCTTCATTTTATCAGGCTTCCAGGTGAGGCTGACCCTGGTCATCTGAGTCAGGCCACTCATGGAGAAGCAAGTTCCAGCAGCACCTGGCACATGACTGTGAAATCACTGCTCTCATTTTATTTAAATTATTTGTTTGTACAATATATGCACCTTCTGTGTTGGACATTCAGCTTTGTTAGGCAAGAAAGGACCTTTGTGGTATATATTTTGAGTGTGACATACATCCAATAGACATACAGTGATTATGAAAATATACCTTGGACCAGCAGATGGTGTAATGGTTATGTCGTTGGACTCCTACAAAATCCACGGCAGTTCGAGTCCTGGACCCAACGACTTAAAGCTCATGCCTGGCGCATATGTGTGTGTGCCCAAAAATCCCAAGAGGAGAATGGAGGAGAAGGAATTACAGTGTGGCCAACCCCTCTGGGAGGGGTGATTTCTCACTTTCTATCTCTCTGTCTCTTCAGCCAGCACATATGTTCTATAGCAAAAAATCTCTCTGTAAACCACACATACACAAAAGAAATGAAATTATATATCTGATGAAAGATTTAGTAAAAACAGAGTCAACAGCATGAATTTAAAACAATCTCTCTCTCTTTCTCTATCTCTCTCTCTTCTTTTTTCTTTTCTCTAACGGCCAGAGGGTGCATGCATGTGACAGGAAGAGGGAGAAAGTATCCCCAGTGGCCGTGGTCATGCCACAATCCCTTCTTCTCCACTTTTCTAGCCTGTTGGTATTTGAGGCACTCATGTAGATGAACCCAGCACATTTCTCAAGCCACCAAAGCCAGGCCGAACCATAATCAGCCAGGTGGGCTATGACTTCCCTTAAACACTAGGCAGTGGGGTTGGCCTTAAAACAAACTCTTAAAAAATTTATTACATGATGGGTTAAAAGACATCTGATTATTTAAGTGTTGGGCTTGAAAGGACAGTAAAGAGAAGTTTAAAATGAAATATGGTTGGGATTCAAGAAGAATTCTGAACAAGTGATCCAAATATTAAATATTTAGTGCCAACCCAAGGCAATATTTTCAGTTTGTGTATATCCTTATGAATAAAATACTGATATAAGAAACAACATAGACAATCTCAAAATTGTTACATAGAACAAAGGATAGTAACCAGTAAAGAGAACATGCTATACGATTCCGTGTGTATAAAGCTGTTAGAAAATGCAAGTAAATTTATAGTTACAGAAAGCAACTCTTAGGGATGGGAAGACAAGTAGTGGAGAGAGTGATGAAGGGGTTACAAAGAAAGCTCAAGGGAGGAATCAAGTGGAGTGGTGGTTAAGGTGCTAGACTCCAACATGGCAGACTGGGTGTAAGTCCTGGACCCAGAGGCTTTAACTTCATTCTGGCACATGTACATGCATGCCAAAATCCTAAGAAGAGAATGGAGGAAAAGAGATTGTGGCATGGCCACAGTCCTCTCTCTGTGTCTCTCTTTCTCTAGCTCACATGCCCTGTGGTAAAAACCTAAAAAATTAATTAATAAAGTAATTTTTAAAGGATTATTTTATTTTTAATTATTATTATTACTATTTGATTTGACCAGGGACAAATAGAGAGAGAGAGGAAGTAATGAGAAAGCAAGCCACCAAGTTCGGGGTTCAGAACTATGGTCTGCCATGTGGGAGTCCAATGCCTTAACCACCACACTACCTGTCAAACCCCAAAAAATAATTTTTAAAAAAAGCACGAGGAAACCTTTAAATATGAGAGATGCATTCAATATGTTGATGTGATTTTGTGTGTGTGTGTGTATACATATATGGCAAAGTTTATCAAATTGTATACCTTAAATATGTGCAATTTATTGTTATGTCAGTTATACAACAATACAGCTATAAATCCTTGTGCTCTTGTTCAGCTATCTATTTCCCCAACAGTACAACGATTAAAGGTGATACAATGAGAAAGCACATAAAATAGTTTCTAGGGCAAAATAGAAGTACACCAAAACACCTGTTGACCTTGTTCTTCTCACCTCAGCAATTTCTTTTCCCTCCTTTCATAAACATAAACTTTATCATCATTATTATTTTAATTGACAGCTACAATTACATATATTTATCATGTAACTGTACTGATAAATATTATAGGTGTTTTTTCCTAGAAATGGATTCTAAAAGTTCAGGTTCAATTTCTATTAGCTAAATGTCCCTTGACATTTAATGCCTCTTGCCATTTAACTTTTATTAATCTCAGGTTTCTCATCTGATAAAATGACGGCAAATATTCAACCTACAGTTAACTATAGTAAGAGTTCTTTGTTATTTTTAATGAGCACATTTATGAAAAAAGTGTTTGTAAACTACAAATATATATTTAAAGAATTATAAATACACTCTTTTTTAAGAGAGATTTTTTGCTATAGAGCTCATGTGCTCACCAGATAGACAGAAAAGAAGAAATCACACACACACACACTCCGGGGGGGAATGGCCATGCCACAAATTCCTTTTCTTCCATTCTCCTCTTGGGATTTTGGGCACACATGCATGGGTGCCCAGAATGAGTTTTAAGGTGCTGGATCTGGGACTCAAACTGTGGTTGACTACGTGGGAGTCCAGTGAGTGACATAACCATTTTGCCATCTGCTGGTCCCTATAAATATTAATATTGGAGATAAACAATTGATTAGATCTGAATAAAAGAAAAATCTATGTTCAGTGTTATTTCAGAAGTGATTATAGGTATATACTCACAAATAATGCTCCCCAGAATGGGTAGCCTGCATTAAATGATGAAAAAAATTCTTCAAAGTCTGAAATATTGATGATGATGCAGACAATTAATCCAAAACAAAGACATAGGAAGCCAATGAGAATTTGCGTCACCTATAGAAAAACATAGGTTTTATAAAATTAGGATATATTTTCCCCAAGACTGTATATATTTTCTTACAACTGAGGTCACATATGAGACATTGTCCTAGTATCTTACACTATCCTGAGAAGTGATCCAGTACCCCAGTCACTGTAAGAGCATTGTACAAACAATCCCTAATACCCAGAGGATGGACACGTTTGTCATGTGTCTTTATGTGTACTGTCCAGAGGACATCATTAATTGTTCTTTCCATCTAAGTAATGACAGAGATTATGAACCTCTTGTCATTCTTGGCCTAGAAATCTATAGTATTTATAAGGAAATGCTTCTCTCCTCCCAAAAGGACACAGCTGGTGTCAACTCTTGGTCTACCACAATTTTTAGAGAAAGTTTCACTTCACATGAGAAAACGCAGAGAGAAAAAATTTGATACAACTAAATAATCTTTCTCAGAACCAACTCCTACTCTAGTCTAGGTTTGAGGAGGCTTACCCCTAGAAACTCCAATTCTTTCTTCAAAAATGTCAGCCACGTATGCTTTGGTGAGGACTTTGAGGTGGATTTCAAATCATGAAGAGTTACTTCTGAGAGCTCAGTTTTTGGCACACTGTGAAATGTAACCAAAATGCAGTTATGAAGAAACTCTTTAATTGCCTGTGAAAAGTCCTCAACTGACAGAAAAATGAGTCATATTTATTTTTTCAAAACAATCCTGAAATTGAAATCTTCACTGGAATGACAAAGTAAAAATCAGAGTCTAAGTAAATGACCAAGACAACTTGAACAATATCCAAGCAATTAGCTGAAACAACGGAAAATAATGATGCCAAGTATTCTTGCTCTTAACCCAATTCCTGTCAATTTATTTCCCATTAATCTAGAGTTGAAAGTAAAACTTAAAACAAAATCATGTTCATGTATGCATTTTACAGACTTTTTAACATAGAAATGTAGATATTTTTATCAATGGCATACCTAACTGCAAATGCACAGAGGACTTTAAAGGAGTGGTTTAAAAAGGTTAGTTGAATCTCTTTTTCTAGTCTCATCTTCAGAGAGAATGCTACAGCTTGATGTTCACAAAGGCCAACCATAACAGAAATTATTTTGTAAAGTTTTTGACCCATTGCACACATTAGACTCAAAAGCAAGAAGTCCATATAGGTAGTAAAAACTCTCCTGTCATCCACCAGAATAAAAGCTTCTAGTGTCAGAAAACCAGTGGCTTGAAAATCACACCAGATGCATGTCTGTGTGTGTCCAAAAGCCCAGGAGGAGAATGGAGAAGGGATTGCGGCATGGCCATCCCCCCTGAGGGGTGATTTCTCACTTTCCTTCACACTAACTCTCTTTCTCTCTCTCTCCGGTAAGCACATGTACCCTATGACAAAAACCTAAAACAACAAATAAAAAATAAAATAAATAAACTGTGTTATTCTCAATTTACAAGCTGAGAATCTTCTCCACCAGAGAGAATAAGAAGCAGAAAGCTTCCTTATACCCAATATATTAATTAAGCTGGATGAATCCATGAACTGGCATCTGTCCAGCACTATGACTTTCTTTGGCCAACTACATGACTGAGAAAAGAAACAATAGCCTGTACCCACCTGGAGGATTCTTCTGGGTTCGGGAGAGCAAGGTCTGCTCTGCTCTGATTTTCCATTTCCATCTTTTTTTCATTAACAGTGCTATCCGGGACTGAAGAATGCTGTTACAGTGAGACTCGGTGGACTTCCTCTCACGGTGTACTCTGGAGAGACAGTTAAAGTGGGTTGATTCATGCACTGATAATTATCTTCATACACAAGTCATTTGTCAGATAAGCTTCTCCAATGATTAAGATCAACACTTTTTTTTTTAATGTGGTAATGAATAACAAAATTAAGAGGGCTCCAGAGTAGGGACTAGTATAAAAGGAGAAAATTTGAGAGTACTAGAACATAATTCTGCCTGAGACCTGCAGGATTTATAGAACCTGTGAGTTTTAGTGGGAGTTGAGAAGATAAGAAAGAACTATAGAACACAGAGATGTATCTCTACCCTGGAGCTTCCTCTACTTGTGTCCTAGTTCAGACATTTCTATGTCAGAAATCCTCCAAATGCACCTTCAAAAAGCCTGACTTACCTGTAGTAGACTTATGTGTTTAAGGCTTTACCTATAGACCCAAGGCTGATGCACTGTTTGTGCTAATGAGTGTGTCTTAGACTCTAAATGATCCATTCCTGACTTCAAAATATAACAGATTCTCTTTCTCTCTCTTCCTGCCTCTTGAACATTGTTTATATGACTCTGCAGCTGATAGTCTCAGACACATGACAGGCAGTGTTCTAGCTGATATAAACTATGCCTTGAAAGGGTATGAAACCTAAGTTTTTACACTAAGGACTCCATTGTTTGTTAAAACATTCAACTGACATTTGCTGTTGAATTCTTGTAATGGCAAGAAAAGGATAACGAAAACACCGAGGAGAATAAATTTAATAATAAATTCCACAAGCAAATCTAAATAGCCCTGGACTGAGCAGTATGCTAAATTCAGGTTAGAGCTGAACAAATGTGTTTATTCTAAAGTATAACTAACTAGGTCATAGCAAAATGAATACAGGTAAGAGTCACAGAAAGCTTGAATCTCTTTTACCGGACTTTAGTTCCAGACATAATTAAGTGTCTCTTTAATTAACTGCAAGATACTATAAACTGTACCTCTAATCACCAGTGTTGTTTTTCTGGAATGGGATAAAATTTCTCCTCCTGGGAGATGAAGACATTTCTATAAACAGGAGATACCAAGAGATATATTGACATATCTTTCATAACAAAAATGTATTACTCGTTTTATGTTATCGGATATATAATATACATAACCATTGAATATGTTATTGGAATTAAGAAATAAGCCTTAACCATTTATACCTTTATCCGAAAAAAAAAGACTTACTATTTCATGCTAGGTGCTGGTCTTTTCACTGAGAAGACACAGATGAACACCATGGTGTCTAACCCTGTCTAGCTTACAGTCTGGCAGAATACAACAAACATTGGGTGATATAACATTACCCAATATGTTAGAAGTTACAGGATGCTGGAATACATGGGGGGCGGGGATCATAATTCTGCCTAATATCGGATGTGTAGAATTCAGGGAAGGAATTCTCAGTCAATGTAAAATTTGGGCCCAGACTTAAAATGATAGCTGCAGAAATTTTCATCTGTTTGCCTCTTCCTCAGTGAAATTGCCCCACATCTAACATCTTAAAATAACTTTTTTTTTAGAGAGATTTTTTGCTATAGGGTGTGTGCACTCACTGGAGAGACAGAACATGAGAAATCACCCCCCAGGGGGGATGGCCACACCACAACCCCTTCTCTGTTCTCCCCTCAGGATTTTGGGCATATAGGCACATGTGTCCAGTGTGAGTTTTCAGCCACCGGGTCTGGGACTCAGACATGGTAGACTACATGGGAGTATAGTGATGCAATCATTATGCATCTGTTGGTCCCTAACTTATGGTTCTTTATGGTGATTTCTAGGAGTATACAGTTCATTATGTATGCAGTATATAATCAAGACTTGCACTTGAGATTTAAAAAGGGAATACATTGAGATGATCATTGGTATTTGAACACAATGCTATTTTGTGAAAACTTCCAATAGAACCTTGCAAAATGCAAATCAGAAACTGAGATGTATTTTATGACCTCTGATTTAGTTCATAATCCCATTTTCACCAGCACCTTCTTCTTACTGTTTTCTAGGATGCATTTCACTTTCTGTGTTTATACTTTGTTTTTCCACAGCCATGATCTTTCACAATGGTGAACATTGACAAATGCAATTACTTTTTTTTCTTTTTTGGTGGAGCAAAATAATCAAGATGAGTTTTAACCAATCTCTGCCTGAAAGGAAGAGATAATGAAACCGACGTTCCTCTTCACAGTGTATCTTTCGTTCTCTAGTCCAGCCTTTGCCTAGTCCTTTCATTCACTTTCTATCTCTTAGTCTGATAAGCAAAGTGTCTTCTCCCAGTTGCACTCTAAAATCAAAAGAAGTTTGCCCTTAGATCCCATATGAACATTTTCTCAAACTGAATGCTCAATTTACTTACAATAAATATGCATGAATTTTTGTGCTATGAATTAAACATTATGCTACCTCTTATGGGGCATTCCCTGATACTCCTAAGGGAATCACTGCCTCTATCCCTCTTTTTCCTTCCCCTTCCTCATCTCCCCATTTTTTTCCATTACCTCATTTTTATTCTCTCTCCCTCTCTCTCATTTCTATATCCCAGAGCCAAGTATGAGTTCAATAAATATGGTCAAGAGGCTAGAGACCCTAAGACTGGCACCAAGCTCTAATGTTCCATGCAAAACTTGGTTATGAAAATGAAGGAAATAAGAAAATATCCTTCACAAGACACATGGTTCTCAAAGGCTTAGTGTTGAGTAAAAATTTACAGAGTAGTGTTTGTTTCTTCAGTTATTTAACTTCAGAAACATGCTAACAGCAAGATTAATACAGACTTCCTAGCAATTAAAATCTCTTTGTATTTTTTCTGTGATTGGAGCTTATCTGCTATGGCTACCTCTGGGCTACTTAAGTGCCAAGGTGATTGTCCTGCTCATGTTGATCCTTTCTCTGCTCTACCCTTTTTTCTTCCCATCTTCCAAAATGGCACCTTTCACAGGGAAAATAACAATCATGTAACACATTTGTTCTCTTGTGATGAAGAACATCTCCAATGGAGAGAATTATAAGGTGCCCAGAATTATGGGTGAGAGGCAGACAATATCTGTCCTAGTACTATTATGGGTAATGCCCCCGTTAGCTTTCTCAAGCTCATTTTTTTTCTCCCTCATCTTTTTGGTATAGTTATATATAAATGTTTGGTCAAATCCATTTTTACTATTTTCAGCATTACCCCAAAACATTTAATAGTTTTCAATTACTTATTGGCTTGTTTTTGAAACCATTTTATCTTACAAAGTCATCAACTGTTGTATTAATTGCCTATCAATACTCTTTTTCACATTGCTAACCCTAAAGAATAAGGTATCACTTTTTGTTTTTCCTGGAGTTACCTGTCTCATGTCACATTTTAATCTGCATAACTGCCCACAACCATCATCTAAGGACTTTCTTGCTTTGTCCTTTATTGGATTTCCTATTCGATCCTGCTTCTGTCTCTTTCTTAGTGTACTATTGCATGTTGGTAGAGCATATTCTCCAGTCACATCATGAAAGACCAGCTTGGAGAGAGTTTTTGAGAATCCTGGTCTAAACATTTGTCTTTTGTACCCTTGTACTTGACTTATGGATAAGTATAGTGTTTGAACTGGAAAACATTTTTGCTCAAAAGCATTCACTCCATTTCTTTCTAGCATTTAGAATCAATTTTGGGAATTCCAATGTAATTTTTAATTTTAAGCATTTGTATGTGTCATATATTTTTTCTCTAGAAAGCTTAATCATTTCTTTTAATCCTTAAAGGTAATAAACACATGATAGTAAGACAATGTAAATATTATAATTTTCCTGGGTAGTCAGCTGCCAGTTTCAAACAAAAGACCCATCTCCTTTTTTTAAAACCCATGTATTGTTTTAATCTGTTAGAGGGCACATATCTGAGTGAGAGAGAGAGGAGGTAGTATTTTAAATTTAAGTAAGCACGTGACCTGCCCAGACTCATCCAGTGGTGTTCTAGTAAATATTTAACTAGTTTTCCTAGAGTAGGAGGAATGTGACTTTGTGGTTGTTGCCAATCTCTGTGGTGTAAATACTTCTACCATAGCCAATTTCAAACTACATAAATTATGTTGACTCTGAAAACTTGAGATTGCTTTCCTGAGCCAATATAAGCCAGTTCTAACACACTACTGTATAAATTTTCAATTGCTTCTTAAGACACACAGTTCTCTCTTCAAACTTACAACTTTCCATATTCTCTTTACACACCAAAGTTAGAACTAAATTCTCTAGTTTGTTCTTTGAAACACCCAAAATATTTCATAGTTTAGAGGCTTTCACATGTGTTTCCTTTTCTTTTTTTTCCCCTGCCTCATGGTAACAGTCATCTCTAAGACCTCAGTTCAGAAGAAAAGTCCTCTGAAAAATCATCACTGACTTGGTGTGGCATAGTGGTTAAGGCGCTGAACTCTCATGTGGTTAACTGCCATTCAAATCCAGGATCTAGCAACTTAAAACTCATGCTGGATGCATGTACATACATGCCCAAAATTCCTAGAGGAAAATGAAGAGAAGGGATTATGGTGTAGCCATCTGCCCTTGGGAGTGATTTCTCGCTTTCTATCTTTCTGGTGAGTATATATGCACTATAGCAAGAATCTCATAAATATAAATATAAATAAATATATAAATAAATACATAATCTCTGACTTTCCCTCTAATCTGGGTTAGCATCTCTTTCTATGTGCTTTCCAAGATTTCTATGCTCTCCCTGTCATTGCTGTTATATATTTCTGTGGTCTATGGCTGCCACTATAAGCCAAATGAAAGCACAGATTATCCTTCTTTATTGAATGTCAAACTCTTAGTACAGGACATGGCACATAGCAAGCACCTCTAAATGACTGTGAAATAGATTTTTTAAAAGATCTGAAAATATGATAGTAGACAAGATAAGTGTAGATACCAGAGACTGTAAGGGTGGGAAATGGGTAGTAGAGAGTAGGTGGAAGGAGCAAAGGGAAGAAACATCTAACGCACAAAAGAATGTAAAGTTTTCTGTTGAAAAAAAGAAAAAGGTTCTGTAATTTTTGCTTTATAAAAATAAATGAAAAAACATGAACAAATAAACATATTATAGAGGTAGAGTCAAGAATTAGTACAGAAGGGTGTAGAAGAATGATAAGGGACTATGAATAACTTATGGTTGTGAACTTATGGATGTTAGAGATGACTCAATGCAGTGTCAAGATATAGAAGATTCAGTTATAAATTAGACCAATGAATTTATAAATTAGAAATGTAAATCTATAAATTATAAATTGTAAATCAGGAACTGAAAAATATTTTAGCATTAAATTGCCACCTGGAAAATAGGGCCATTGAAACTGCAAGAGAACAGAGGAGGAGTCATAGGAGAAGGGAAGGTATCTGTCATTCACCCAACACATCTGACCACAATCCCACCTCTGCTTCAACAGCAACAGCAAGACCAACAATAGTAACATTATCAATTAGTTTTGATGCTACTTCACATACACTTTATTTTCATTTCATCCGCATAACAACCAATAAGGTAGCTGATATTATTACATCTATGTTACAGATGAGGAATAATAGGTCAGGTAGACTAGTAACTTGCCCAAATTCAGATAATTGGCATTGTCAGAATTTGAACACAGATCTATCAGATTCTAAAGCCCTTGTTCTCTGACTTACAGTGTCTGGGTTTTGGGGGGAAAAAATTAAAAAGTTGACCTTGCTCTCAAAGTTCACAAACAAAACCACCATTTATGTACCAGGACATGTGTGAATTCAGCAGCAGACTGAAATAAAATCTTTGAGGCTTAACCCTGCTATCTCAAATGTAGTGAAAATCTATCTTAATCATGATAGTAATGATTTTTCATGTGACATTCTCGTAATGCTGATTATCAGCTAGAGACAAGACGAATTTTTCTGTAATGAAAGAAAAGCAGACTCATTTTTCTTCCCACTGGGTTATTGAAATTTGGATTTTAGAGAGATTTGGATAATTATATTACCTTCCTTTCTTAAGCTTCATAAAGCAGCAAATGAGAAGAAAAACTAACTCCTGTGAACAACTTTGGAGTATTGATCATAGTGCCTAAAGAATGCCTAAAGAAATATATATTGTCCTTCCATAACCAGAGCACCCTAATTGGAGTTAGAGTTAGGACAGAAACCATTGAGTCAGATGTCCAAGTTTCCCATGATTGGTGACATGAAAGAAGGATTGTTTCCTAGGGTCATGTTTCCTGAGTTCTTAGATGAAGCTCTCATTCATTGGAGACTTGAGGTTGAATGTTCATGCTTTCTGAATTACTTTTATCAGGAGGTATCCCTGGTTCCACAGAATTGTGAGGTGAAGAAATTGCCTGGAAAATAAAGCAATGTCAATTTCTAAAAACAGAATCATTTCTCTCTCCTTCTGTCACTTCCTATTATCATCATGATTATAGGAACATTAATTTATGGTTACTGTGCTAAACACTGTATATGTTTATATCATATACATAGTCCTCATCAGAAGAGAATGAAGCATTAATTTAATTTTACAGTTAAGATACCTAAAATCTGGAAAAAATGTGTGATTTTTTTTCCTACGTCATACAGCCGGAAAGTGACAAATTACAAGAAAATAATAAAACTGAATTTCAGCTGTGATTTTTAAATGTATGCTCTTATATATTAAATATACTGGTTTTCTTTTGCATCTCACATACAAATTCTTTTCCAATCTTCATTCTAACATTCGTACAATTTCTAATGCAGTAACTCCACAAATCATTACCACAGAAAGGTTCTTAATGATTCCAAGGGTCAGAAACAACTTTAGTCCCAGAGGGAGGTTTGCAGACCATGTTAAGAACGTCATTTAAGGGACTAGTAGTTAGCATAAATGGCTATATCTCTGGACTCTCATGTAGTCGACTGCGGTTCAAGTCCCTGACCTGGTGGCTTAAACTCACGCCAGGCGTGTGTACATGTGTGCCCAAGATCCTGAGAGGAGAATGGAGAAAAAGGGATTGTGGCATGGCCATCCCCCCGGAGGGTGATTTCTCACTTTCTGTCTCTCTGTCTTTCCAGAGAGCGCATGCGCCCTATAGCAAAAACCTCTAAAAAAATATATATAATTCTTTAAAAATATCAAAATACACTCTACTTTTAGAATTCTTTCTTTCACATGTTCTTTTTCCTCTAGCACTCAGCACTAACATTCTATATATTTCCTTACTTATCTAGTTTATTTCCTCTCTATCATGAAACATAAGCTCCATGAGGACAGATATTTTTGTCTAACTCTTAAACTCCTAGCATTTAAAACAGACACAAAAGAGACAGTCAGTACATATTGATTAATCAAATAAATGAATAATGTACCACTAGTATTATGCCTTACGGAATTCTGAATAACATCAACTATATTGTGACATTATTATCCATCTAATCAGAAAATGGTTACTGAAATCTTTGGTACATCTTGATCCTCAATGAACCACACTGCCGCCATAAGAAAAAACCCTAAAAAAAAAAAAAAAAAAAAAAAAAAAAAAAAAAAAAGAAAGAATGTCATTTAAGCAAACTCACCTGTCTTGAATCACAGCAGTTTGCTTTGCACCACATGGCCGACACAGAGATAGTTATACACAGTTCCAGTAGAGTGAGGATAAGCATTAGAGACACCAGGCCCTGGGGAACACAATGCCTCATATCGAACCCAGTAGAAACATTCAGAAGGAAGAAAAGGTCAGAAGGAAACCACATCACACCATCTCCCTCCCACCATATGGAACAAAGTAAATCCTAAGTCAGATGAAAGACACAGACACACACACCCACACTATGGAAGGGATCCAGTCTCACTCTAAAAGTACGAGGATGTTTTCCATGAAGAGAAACAGATGTGTGGATATTTCTGTATCAACCCATACGAAGTAGTCATGGGGAGGAAGAAACTGTAGAGGTAAAATTCTGGCTTGATCACTAACATCTACCAATTTGAATGGTAACGAACTAAGAAGATGAACAGACACTTCAGGGAAACAGACAACAATGACCTCTCCAGCATTTCATCAATGGTACTTCGTAGAGGTTTAGGCTTTTACATTGTCCTTAGAAACTAAAACACAATATGATAAAGACACAAAATAAAATTGTTGTTGTGCTAGTGATCCTCCTATTATCACGAAAGAAACTATTGGGTTGTCGGGAAAGTCATGACACATTCCTGCATAGAAAAACAGAAAAATACATCACGACTTTCCCAACAACCTAATAGAAGCAAATTCAAAACTTCTCTGGAGGGAAAATATCACTAAAAATAAAAAAAAAAAAAAAAAAAAAAAAAAAAAAAAAAAAAAAAAAGAAAGAAAAAAATCATACCTCGATAAAGAGAAACTTTAAAAGTTAAAGAAAAGGAAGATACAAAGTTCCATGAATACTGTCCATTCTCCTGTCAACAGGAGAATTATAAGTTAGTCTGTAAATAATAGTGCCTTGATCACAGATCATCAGGAGTAAAATGGACAAATTTGAAGGCAAATATTAATTTCTAAGTTGATCTCTAAACAAGTAGAACAATTACAAATGTGAGCAAAAAATAATTTGACGAGGTTATTAAAGAGCTTTCCTTTTAAAGTATCATACTCTAACTCAAAAGTGAAGAGACTCAGAGTGTCCTCATTATTTGCACTCCAGACCAAAAAGATATAAATCTCCCAAGTTTATTTTAATAAGTAAGGAGATGTGAAACAACTTTTTAAATTTAATCTCTCTGGGGTATGTATCAGCAGTTTAAAAATAATACTGATAATACTCCAGGACTGGCTGGCCCTGTCACACAGTAGATAAGCACTGTGCAGAGGATTGCATGTGGCCCACAGCAGTTTGGATCCAAGTCCCAGCTGCAACAGTTGGGGCATGAGTTCATCACACTCCTAGGATCCCAACAGGAAGGAGAAATGAAGAAAACAGGATTGTGGTATGACCAGACCCCATGAGGAGGTTCTCTGTCTCTCTCACATGTGCCCTCTGGCCTTAAAAAATGTATACATTGATGATAATAAAACATAATGTTCTAAGCACTATTTTAATTGCCTATCAAATTAGCAACTTATTTGATTCTTCTACTAACCCCCTGAGAGGGGTACTATTACCCTCATTCCAAAGATGAGAAAATGAAAACATGGAGAAGTTATCTATTGGGTTGTCGGGAAAGTCATGACACATTGTTCTATGTTTTTCTATGCAAAAATGTGTCATGACTTTTCTAGAAACCCAATAATTTGCCCTTTATTACAGAACTAGTAGGTGGCACAGGCAAGCTTCAAATCAAGGTAGCATGTTATATTATCTTTTTGTGCATTTTGGATTGTTAGAAACATTTTATAAGTAACTGTTTCTCTAAAAAACATACGTTTGATGAAGAGCCCATATAAATGCATAAGTCTGGGGACTGTGAAGACTGACAACTCTTGAGTGACAGGATATTAACTGCTAAATTTATTGAGAGAAAAACAATCCCAACTAGTGCAATTGTAGCGCTGGCAATGTTCATCCCAAAACTGTTTTGCATCTAAAAAGGAATAAGAATTTCAATTAATATGTGCAACGCATACGTCATTCCCTTAGCAGTAATTTCTTTAAACAAAGACTGACTGGATGTTGTTCACACACCCAGCAATATCCCAGATGTAGGGCAAACATCTATCAACAAAGACTGTCCTCCCACTATGGAATTTACATTCTAACAATAAAGACAAAGCAATAAACATACTAATGGGTGAATTATATAGTACTTTTGAAAGTGATTAATTAAACTCTGGGCTACTAACAGGACAGGAAAAGGAAAATCTGGAAATTTAGAGAGAAGAGTGAAGGTTTACGATATTAAATAGAAATGGCACTTGGGAAAAGACATAAGAGCTGAGAATGTCTGGGAGGATGTCAAAGGAGTATAGAATAGGAAAAGCAGTTGCAAAGAACTGAGCACTGGGGTACCTCAACCTTAAGAGATCAGAGAGAAGAAAAGGAACAAGAGGGGCAGACTGAGGAGAAGAAACCAAGATTGAACGAAAATCAGCCAATCAAGGTGTGTTAAAAAGCCAAGTAAAGAAATTACTTAGGAGAAGGTGTGAGGAGCAACCAACTAAGCTGAAAGACGCTCATAGGCTAAGCTAGACAAGAACCCACCATTGTTTCAGCAACATGGCTGCTCTCAAGGATGTTGGTGTGGTTACAGCAATGTGTTAGGGAAGGAAATAAAGATTATTGAAGTTAGTTTAGGTAGGAATTGGAGATAGAGTACAAATAACTTCCCTGAAGGAGTTTGTTGTGGGGCTAATGATCTTAGGAAAAATGAACTGTGCCTGTAGCTGGCGAAGAAAACTCATGGCAAGATTTTGTTGTTGTGAGTTGAGAACAGTAACTGAATAATTTTATGTTGATTGCATTTGTATGGAGAAAGAAAGGAATGGGTGATAATATCCAAACAGGGGGATCAGCCCTAAAGAAAAGCAGACAGAAGAGGCTAGGATGAAAAATAAACATACAGATCTAGTCCATGGGGTAGATGTTATAATGGGGCATCTTAAGATTCTCCCCTGATGGTTTTAGTTTTCTCAAAATAGAAATCAGGTCCATCAACAGAGGGTGAAGATGAGAGAAAGGGGATTGGTGTTTGAAGACAGAACTGTAATGGTGAAATTGCCAAGGGAACCAGGAAAGTGAATGAAAGGAACTGTGGGGTATGAATCCTTAGATGACCCACTGAGAAACATAATAGAGACTTTGTAGTTGTAAATGACTACAGGACTAGACATGCTTTTAGTTGTGGAACTAGTGGTAGGAGAGCCTGTGTTCAAAATAACTATTGGGGTGTTAGAAAAGTCATGACGTGTTTTTCTATGCAAAAATGTGTTGCAACTTTTCAGGCAACCAACAGAATTAATCGAATTCACAATGTGCAACAAAATCAGGAAGTCTTTTCCTAAGTTTTAGATTCATCAAATATTTAGCATAATGGTCCCAGGTAAACATATTCACAATCTGTAAGATTTTCTAATGACCTACCATCTAAATGCTTTTAGAAAAGAATATTAATATTCTTATGCCTTAAATGGAACTCAATGTCTCAGTCAGATTCAATCTCTAATCTCCTACTGTTAATGGATAAATTATTTCTACTCCTATAATTACAGAAAAGAGAAAAAACTGCCACTCACCAACGTTCTTGTGGGTTTTCTCCCTGCTGCAATAGACAAGGATCCTGAACTAATAAACTGTTTGAAAATAGAAAATAAAACAGATAAAGGGCTATCAAGTCTCAACCATTTCCTTCTTATTCATTCCTTGATTAGAAGATTATCTACGAACAGTCATACAAACCTCTTTTAGTTTCTCATCTTAGGAACACAAAATTCTACTTGATGTTTCTAATTACTATATATGACTAAAATTTTAAACTGGTGTAAATTTTGAATAAATTTGTAATCTTTTCATTCTGTTTTATGTCTGCTTTTTTACAGGTTTGTGTGAATATGGATGCTTTAAAAATAGGGCCAGCCCTGTAAACAGCAGTTAAGCACTGTGCAGAAAGCCAGATCCCACATGACTGACTTCTGCTGTGTCTCAGATCCAGCACCTTGAAAAACATACCAGGAACATCTGCATGCATTCCCAAAATCCCAACAGGATGGAGAAATGGAAGAAGAAAGGAATTGCAATATGACCACACCCCATTGGGAGTTGCTTTCTCTCTTTCTCTGGTAATTGCACATATACTCTGACAATAAAACAAACAAACGAAACTCGTAATAAGTAGAATAGTTCATGTAATATGGTTATATTTATGGTTATGTTTATATTATTGGGTCGTTGAAAAAGTCATGACACATTTTTGCATAGGAAAAAGAAAAATACACCATATCTTTCCTGACAAACTACAAACAATATTTATTTACATTCCCACATAGATATATAATATCATTCTCATATTCTTACCTAGCTCAGACAAGTGTTTGACTCATTGGGCTGATGCTCTAAAACACATTTTATAAATCTAAGTGTCTACCTGGTAATTTTTAAATTTTTGCTTTGCAATGATACTAGTTACATGACTCTAATTTTTATACATTGAAATCCCTCTATATTCATGATTTTCTTAAAATAGTCATCCCAGATTTCTCAAAATTCTCATTATCCTTTATCATGCTGCTCCTGTGGATGGAGGGAAAAGTTGCCAAAAATCAAGGAGAGTGTAAAACCCTGCTACATGAAATTCAACCATAGAATTCTGGCTGACCAGGCTTTGAATGGTTTCAAATAGCACAGCAGTTGTCACAGGAACCTTCACAGTGATGGCAGACACTGTTCTGATCCCAGCTTCATCTCATATCCGTTCTGTAACCTTAAACAAATCACTAGCCCCGCTGTGCCTCAGCTTCGTTTTCCACATAACAGAGCTGTGTGTATCCTCGTGTTTGTATTACCTTATAGTTGTGTGGGGATAAAATAAAACAACACACATAAAGGACTCCAGTAAAAGGGGTTCTTGAAGAAGTTCATGGAAAAATGCATATGATAAAAAAAATGCAAGAATTTTTAAAAACTGCCTCAAAATAAACTTACACTTTGATTTCATCTTTCTACAAGTTTTTCATAGTCCCCTCATATTTGCCCAGCAATAGCTAAGGTGTTATGCACATTTTTTCTATTTAATTGCAGACACTCAAAGAGAATGCCCTCATACCTTTGTACCATCCTGGTGAAGAACCCGAAAGACACAAGCCCAATTATCTTTTGTAAAGTTGCATAATTAATAATGATGAGTAAGAGAAAGATGAGCAAGTAGAAGGGACCGTGTGGTCAATATACACATGTACATGGTAGGGTGCGAGAGAGATCAGGCTACAGCTATAGGTAAGGGCAGATGTGGACCTATTACCATGAGAGCTTAGACTTCATTCTGTAGGTAACGTGGAGCCTGGGAGAAACTTGAAGCCATGGGAATCCAATGTTCAGATTTTAATCTCAGCATGAAGATGCTAAAAAGAGCAGAGATTTGGCTCTCTGACTATGGTTTTTTTTTTTTTTTTGACAAAATGATATTAATTTCTATGGAAAAACAACTCTTTCTTGACTGAACAACTGAAATGTACCACCAGGCTATTTTCAACAATATGAAAATTTTCCATTTAGGTAGTCGGGTTTCATTACATAAAGTAAAAGAGGATCCTACGTTTTTGAGGAAAAACTCGGTTTTATTATCCTGTCAAAATGATATTAACTACATAAAAAGTTCAGAAATGTAAAATCCAGGGAACCAGCAGTTAGCGTAATGGCTATGTCGCTGGACTACCACGTAGTCGACCACGGTTTGTGTCCCGGATCCGGTGGCTTAAAACTCACGCCGGGCGCGTGTGTGTGCGTGCCCAAGATCCTGAGAGGAGAATGGAGGAGAAGGGATTGCGGCGTGACCATCCCCTCTGGGGGGTGATTTCTCGCTTTCTGTCTCTATGTCTCTCTCTGTCTGTCTGGCGAGCGCACGCGCCCTACAGTGAAAATCTCTCAAAAAAAAAAAGAAATGTAAAATCCAAATTACAATGTTTTAGACTGTACCCAGAATCGATACATAATCATTTGTCAGAATATGAGATTCGATCTTGGTCAGGAAATATTAAGAGCAATTTTCTCTTAAAGGAGATCTGAAGGTCAGCAATTGAGAAAAAAATTGAATATGAATGAATTAGAGCCCAAGACTTGTTATAAATTTCAGTTTTTCTTTATAACACATTCTATTCACTATTTTCAACTAAACCTTTCTATCTTATATTTTGTGGTAGTATTTTTGTTTTTGTTGTACAGTTCGGGACTGAGCATATATAAATTCTCAAAGCCTAGGACTGGATTAAATACTACTAATATAGAAAATAATAATGGCTGGTTAACAAGTCGCTTCCTGTTCTCCACTTTTAAAAATGAACCTTGTGGTCCAGCCATGGCAGCACAGGAGGTAGAATACTGCTACGTGACACTGGAGTCTTATGGGAAGGCCTGGGTTCCTGGTAGACCTGATCATGCCAGCCATGCACACCTATGATGGAAGGTTGGGCAGAGTCGTGGCACAGCAAGATCCTGTTGAGAGTCTCTGCTTCTGTCTCTTTCATGAAAGAAAGAAATTTTTAAAAAATGAACCACCAAGTAAGTGATAACCAAATGACAAAGATGAATAAATAAATGTTAAAGAGCACCTAGCCCAAAGCCTATTTTTTTTTCTGATTATATTTTGAAACAAATAGGGGAAATGACTCTTCTGATTTCAGACAGTAATCAGCTGACAAGTGTCTTATCTCCCAAGCCAGCACTCCTGGCTACACCACAAGGCAACTCACAAGTATTCATTTTCTACTGAATTTTCTTTGTATCCATTAGCTTCACATACGTTAATGTTTGTGACTGAATTTGTATTTAGCAAACGTGGTTTCTTCTCATGAGAAAAAAAGGAGCTTTATAAAAAAGTTCCTTGTGTGAAGAAATAATCTATAAAAACAACACTTCTATAATCAAACTCATTTTGAACAGTAGTATCTGAGGAAAGATCTATGGCTAGGAGAATATGAATACTCACAAAAACTGCACCCCACAGTGGATAGCCTGTGTAGAAAGTGAAGAAAAAGAAGTGCCTGAAGAGGTGAGACAGGTACTGTAAGGAACCTAGAAAAACACCTACAGCCAGAATCATCGCTCCATTCAGGACCTGGATGGCCTGGAAGAAGAAAAAGGGCATAATAATCATATACTAATCTGTACATTGAAAAGAGACCAATGGGGCCAGCAGATAGCATGATGATTATGTTGCTAGACTCCCACATGCCCAACCAATTTGAGTCCCAGACCTGTAGTTTAAAATGTTCTGGGCATGGTATGCATGCCCAAGATCCTGGGAAGAGAATGGAAAAAAAGGAATTATAGGATGACCGTCTCCTCTGGGGGGTGATTTCTCACTTTTCTTCTCTCTCTCTCTCTCCTGTGAATGCACATGCCCTAAGACAAAAGCCTCTTTAAAAAAAAATAAAAAAGAGAGAGAGAGAGATCATTTTCATTATCCCTAGAAAAGAGATGTCAGTGCTTGAAATGGTTAAAAGTCAAGCTTGAATTTACTGGGCAAGAGTTTATTCTTGCAAATTTTCATTCCACACATCAACTCCAATGGCAACCCTTCATCTTGAGGATAGAAGTCTGATTGTTTTTTTCTATTTCCAAAATTCTTTCCAGAGACACTGGAAGAAGTCACACCACAAACATTAACCTACCATTTTGACCCTTTGATAACAAGACTCTTCCTACATCCTGCCCCTGGCATAGTATTTTTATGATGTATATTAAACCTAGTTATCTCTGTTAAAGTACCTTCCTTTCTGATTTCAGCAACCTTTCTTTTTCAATTACCAACTTAAAAACTATAAAACCTACCTGCAAGCTCCCACTTCCAGGATCCTGCCTTTTTGGGCCAGACCAATGAAAAAATTCTTCACTAAATTCCAAACTCTGTCTCTTGCTCTCAAAATCAAATAAAATGAACTCCTGTACTTGATCAACCCCAGAAAGGCATGTTTTGCCTCCTCTGGCCTAGGCCACTCATATTCATGCTTAGAAATAAACTGAATTATTATTTTTGCAGAGTTGGCTGTTTCCATCTGGCTACCCTCATACTCTCCTCTCATAAACTGGCAGAAAGGAAAGGAGGGGTGCTGGTAAGATACCAGAGGACTTTGAGGAAAATGCATATTATGAAAAATGATGCATATATTTCAGTGTTTTATGTGGGTTTTTTTTTTTTCAGCAAACTCATATTTTAATTTCATTTCTTTTCATAAACTTCACACCATATTCCACCTCTGTCCTCAACCAGCACCAGGTCATGGTACCTGTGCCCATAGTATACTCAAGGAGGTCTCCAGACATGAGACCAAAGCCTTCCCATGTAGCTCAGCCTCCCAGAGCATTGTGTTACTGCTGTGCCACCATCAGACCCCCTCAACATTATTTTTACATTTAAAATGTGGAATCTGAGCTTCATAGAGCTTCGCCTTCTGAATTGAGGGGGTCAGAAAGCACAAAGAAAGAAGAAAGGACCTTGGAATCCATTTTCCAAAGTTAGATGGGAAGTTATTCACCATGAAGGGTGCCTCTGTATCTCCACTGCCCAAGTCTATAACATGTCTCAGTCTTTTCTTTAATTCATCATTACCCCAGTGATGAGTAACTCAGAAATTCCTTATGAACATAAACAAGCTTTTCCATATAATATTTATTTTCTTCACCCTTAAGCCAGTTTTTAAACTAAGGCTTACTTACCCCAAGGGCTTGCAGTATTGCTTTCTGATAATCTTGTGATCCCTCAATGGGCTGGTAAGGAGAATTATTCACCCCCTCTGGGTGCTCCTGGCTGTCTGGGGTACCACCTGCTGAGGCTGTCCCCAGCTCTGCATTATCGACTTCTTGGGAGGCCATTTAAGATTGTTTATGGCTGTCACGGAAAAGAAATTCGAAAGCTTAGTATTTTTCCTCTACCACTAGCTAAACTTTTTTTCTTTTTTTTTTTTACTTTTTTTGTTGTTTTTTAAATTTTAATTTTCATTGAAAAGAATAACCATACATAATTATTAGGTACAATGTGATTTTTTTATAATTATTTATTTTAAATTTTATTTATTCATTCATTTATTTTAATTTGACCAGAGAGAGAGAAAGAGAGAGAAAGTGAGAAAGCAAGCCACCAGGTCCAGGACTTGAACTGTGGTTGGCCATGTGGGAGTTTCCAGTGCCTTAACCACCATGCTACCTGCTGGTCCCCACAATGTGATATTTTGATACATGTTTACATTTGTAGAATAAGTAAAGCAAATTAACATCCATATCACCTCACATATCTTTTTTGTTGGTGGTGGTCAATTATATCTGTTTTTATTTAATCTTATTATCATAATTTGTTTATATTACATTTAATCACATGTATCTTTACAGTGTATTACATTTCTTTTTCCAGCACAATTACCATGCATATCAGTCAAGACAAAGACATCACTACCCACATTATCAAATAGCTATTCATCATTTTTTCAGATTATTATTATTTATTCTCATTTTTTTAAACATTCAATCACTATATATAATTTGGCTTGTAAAGGGAATTTACCCAACATGAATTACCTCCTCACATATCTTTTAACATGGGTGAATCTATATAGTTATTTACTTATTTTTTTATTTATCTTTATTCATTGTATATATTTATGGTCTACAGCATGGCTTTTTCCAGCATGTATGCACTGCATTTTAATCAAGTCAAAAATAACTGTATCTTTTATTGTAATAGATGGATTCAATTCCATGCATATATCAGAATGACTCTCCATAAATGCGACATGTGGACAGAATAAGAATTTGTACAACGTTCAGTTCCATTCTGCCTTAGAGCAGTAGACATCAGATCATTGTAACAGGCCTAGGTACTTCACTCAACTTTAGAATAATAAAAGCAAATCCTTTCTCATTTCTTACCTGCATTCATATATAGTCCCTGCCACTCTCAAATCTATCATGGACAACCAGGTATATGGTTTCTCTAAGCTTATGTGAAGAAGATGGCTTCAGTCATATTTCAGTAATAATAGCAGAGTATTGCTTACTTAGTACTTACCACTGTGCCAGGCATTGTTTAGTTGCTGTAAATGCATTAATATATTTAATCCTCCCAGCAACTCTATGTTGTAATAACTATTTTATAGATGAGAACATTGAGGCATTGAGAAATTAAGAAACTTACCCAAACTCATACAATTCATAACTAATTTCAAATTCTACTAGAAAAATTCTACTTTACAATGCAATATTTTTTAAAATCACTGTACTGTGAAAAGAACTATAGAGATGTCTGAGTCTCAAAACAGCATAGAAGAATTTAAGTACTATGGAAGAGCCAGATTCAAATCCAGATTTGTCCACTATATAGATCTAGTAGTGAAAACCTCAGGTTTTACATCTGTAAAACAAAACTAATTTTAACTTCATATTAGTATTTCAAGAGTCAACTTGATAATATATGAAATCCTTCACTTACAAATAACTGGTAACTGTTGACTGTTAATTTATGCTATGTCTTGCACTAAAAAGATTTTAAAGTTTTGTTATAAGTCTCACACATACACACATACCAAAAAACTCAATCATTACAGCTAAAAAATAAGCATCGCTGAAGTATCCTGAGGATGCTTATGGTTCTGAATGTTAAGCAATTTGTTCCTGAAATAGCATTCTCTTAAACAAAATGATTGCAAAATTATGACATGCGTTTATGATTGATGAGGTGGATGACATGTCTTTAAGCCATAAACCCACTAAATGCTGTTGAATTCTGCCAAAACTACTGATTGAGTTTAGAATAGGACCATCATTTCTACATCTCATTAGAAATGATATAGCTGATCCCTTTGTCTAATAACGTTATGTTTTGTCAAAATAAATACATGTCACTCCCTCTCAGGATGTCTGCCTCCCTAATTCTCTGTGGTTGGGGCATGGGTCACTTTTATTCAAATGTGACAATAAATCACAAAGGCACTAATTTAAAAGAAGGTAAGATCAGGACACATTCTAATTTTATCACACTGGAATTTTCTATAAAAGTTCATAAAATTTTCATAAGAATTTTCTGCCAGTACTGATTTCTATGTTAGCATAAAATCTACATTTTAAAATCCATATGCTACAATTTATATGCTACAATTTTTATCTATCTGAAAATCGATAAAATGAAAGGGAGATCTTATCTCCCAAGTGAATACTGCACAGAATTCAAGAGGGAGGAAAAATTAATAAAGCTTACAACAAACTCCATGTTAATGAATGGCTACTGTAATTATGTATGGAAAGCACAATAAGAACAACCACCAAAGGTAGAATAACCTTATTTAAATCCTTTTCCCATCTATGTTGAAATCACTTTGCAAAGTCCAGACTTAAAATGTACCTATTGAGAGGGGAAAGCAGGTGGCATGGAGGTTGGGGATGCTGGACTCCACAATGGCCAACCATGATTCAAATCCTAGATCTGGAGACTTAAAAAAAAAAAAATGCAGGGAACCAGCAGTTACTGTAATGGCTATGTCGCTGGACTCCCATGTAGTCGACCGCGGTTCGTGTCCCGGGCCCGGTGGCTTAAAACTCACGCCGAGCGTATGTGCGTGCGTTCCCAAGATCCCGAGAGGAGAATGGAGGAGAAGGGATTGCGGCATGACCATTCCCCCTGGGGGGTGATTTCTCACTTTCTGTCTCTATGTCTCTCTCTGTCTGGCGAGCGCACGTGTCCTATAGCGAAAAACCTCCCCAAAAAAAAAAAAAAATGCATATGTGCCCAAAATCCTGAGAGCAGAATGGAGGAGAAGTAATTGCAGTGTGGCCAACTCCTCCAGGAGGTGATTTCTCACTTCCCCTCTCTCTGTCTCTCTCTCTCTGGTGAGTACACATGCCCTATGGCAAAAACCTGGAAAAGTACCTTTTGGGAAACATGTATATATTTTAGATGAAATACATAATACGCTAAGATGTATAGAATGTGGGGAGTGTTGCCCGTTTATATTTATCTGATAGTTACTTGCTTTTATCAAAGGGGTCATCTCTCACCCCTTTCTATTTTTTTTTTTTTAAAGAGAGATTTTTGCTATAGGGCACGTGTGCTTGCCAGAGAGACAGACACAAAAAGCAAGAAATCACTCGCCAGGGGTTTAATCATGCCACAGTCCCTTCTTCATTCTCCTCTTGAGTCTTGAGCACACACGCACACATGCCCAGCGTGAGGTTTAAGCCACCAGGTCCAGGACTAGAACTGCAGTTGACTATGTGGAAGTCCAATGAAGTAACCATTATACCATCTGCTGGTCCCTTTCCTTTCTCAAAATTCAGTCTAACATTATTTTATTTCTTTCAGTCTTCAGAAGTGTCAATTCCTTACCTGTCTTCAATACTTGTCAGTACTATTGACCTACTCCTGAAACAGACTTCTCTCCCTTCACTTAGGTCATTTCTAGTCTTCTCTAGACTGAATCTTAGCTTACATGTCATTTTTCCAAAATCCCTTTTTAGCCCTGGTCAAGCACAGATGATGTCCCCCTTTTCATTACTCTCAGAATTCCCTCAAATTCCTTTTGGATATCACTTAATCAGTCTGAACTTCAATTGCTTAAACACTTGTCTGCATCTCAGTCTTGTCACTGTAATCCCGGGTGCCTATCTGAGTGTCTGTCACATGACAGGCACTCAGCTAATACATGTTTACTAAATAAATATTTGGTCCAACCAGTTTTAGCCATAAGGCAAAATTTGTTTGCACAGTCTAGAGCCTCTCAGTCAGAGAAACTCCAGAGCAGTTCTGAATGGAAGAAATCTAGTCTTAGCATATTATTCAAGTTGACCTTTTTTTAAAAACTAAAAAAAAAATAAAAAATTTTTATTCCATGAATAAGAGAGACAAAGGGAGCTGGGAAAGAGAGATACAGAGACAAAGATAGCTCCCACCCTCAACAGAGTCTTCACCATGATCTACCCTCAGCTTCAGCCAGCCTTGGATCATAAGCGCTTGGGATGGGAGTTGTTTCCAGATGTGAACGTGAACCCAGGATCTTCCCAAGAGAGTGAGCCTTGTAGAATGTTGAGTCACCACTGTACCACACTGCCTGACTCCTGAATTTGATTTCTCTTTTTTAAACAATCAGGGAGAGTTTCCAACCTTCAGGTTTCTTTCGTGTTTTTTTGTTTTTTTTTAAAAAAAAAAAAAAAAAAAAAAAAAAAAAAAAAACCTTA